GTGTGTGTGTGTGTGTGTGTGTGTGTGTGTGTGTGTGTGTGTGTGTGTGTGTGTGTGTGTGTGTGTGTGTGTGTGTTACATTGTGTGTGTTACATTGTGTGTGTTACATTGTGTGTGTATGTGTGAGACTTTTTATGGTTCTGCCCCTGCCATTCCCGCACAATAAATTCAAGCACGGACACCTGTCTGCTTTCTCATTCCCGCATTATGTCTAGAGGGAACCAATCTTAATTTTTTTCACATTCTATCCCAGCTGCAAATTTGGGGCGAGACACAATAAATAAAGCTTCGCCAGTTTGGGTCCTTATCACAACTGATCAAGATGGTGAAACGATTCTCTGCTCAGAGGGCCTTGCAAATTATTTTGGAAGAGAGAGAACCATTTAATGATGATGTAGAGGAAGAGGAAGAGGTTTCAGAATTTGAGGATCACATTTCTAAGAATTCTGAGTCTGACAGTGACTTTGAAGTAGAGGAGGAGATTGAGCATCAGCTAGTTACAAAAAAAAGACGAGCCACAGGACCAGCCGGTCGAGCCACAGGACCAGCCGGTCAGTAAAACGAGTAGCACTTAAATTCATTAATGTGATCCAACAAATGTAAATGGGCAAATATTAACCATATATGCTGTTTATATAGCTTGTAATTGAGATAAAATAAACATCTGTTGAGTATTTTAACATAAAATAGTTTGATTGTGTTGACTTGAAGCCCAAAAAGGCAGCGGGTCCACCAGACCCACGAACACTGGCTGAGTAACACAAATATGAACACCACACAAGGGTTAATCCAAACTAGCTTCATAGAAAGACAATATTTCCCACAGGAAACGTATAGTGGTGTTTTTCTCACCTCTGTGTGTTCTCTTTCAGAGGGCCGGGCGTGATGGCAGAGGGTGAGGAGGCCATGAGCCAGGAGGACTGGAAGGAAAAGTGCGTAGTCCTGGAGGCGCTGCTGATGAAGTTCAGAGTGCAGATCATCAAGATCAGAGAACTCACCGCTGACAAGGTTTGTGAAAGTAGTGGCCACCTGTTCAACATATCCTCAAAGAATGGTTTGCATGATCTCTGAGGAAAGTTGTCTTGTCATTTTTTGTGGGATTACCTATTAATATCCAGAAACACAAGCGGTCAGCTTCAGGGCAAGCCCTTGCAGTGTAGAACCTGTTGAGGCAAAAAACTGTTTGTTTTGTGGAAATTGTATGGTTTGGGCTAAAATAACAACTGGAATCATGTAACGTAAATATCATTGTTGAGGTTAAAATAACTATGGCAGTGGCTTTACGTAGTTCGAAAGTTAGGGAACAAACATCTCAAAGTTGGGGATTTAAAATAACTTTGGAATCGGCGTTCAGTATGAAAGTTCAGTAAGAAATATATCAATAATAATAATAATACTTTAGATTTGTATAGCGCTTTTCCTAATGCTCAAATAAGCTTTATATAAAATCAGAACAGAAACAGTATAGTCCCTCCCAACCCAAGTGTGTGTGTGTGTGTGTGTGTGTGTGTGTGTGTGTGTGTGTGTGTGTGTGTGTGTGTGTGTGTGTGTGT